TAAAAGAAATGATACCATCATTTTTTCATTCACATAACTAACGAATTATTGATAAAAATGAGACTGAGTGTTATGTAAAATAAAATATTAAACGAATTCGATGTAATTATGTCATGGCACTATAATTAAAATCCTTAAAAAATTCCGAGACAATGATTTGCAATTAGGACTCAATTTTAACAATGGATAACAATCCCCAATCAAACACAAAGTAGATCTAATTCAATTAAATGAGAATTGAACTATATCTACCAAAGAAACATCGATAAATCAACACAACGATATAACGTGGAAAAAATCACAATTTAAGCACCTCCGATTGTGATAAAAAAAAATCACAAGTCAAAACCATAAAATAATCCACTAAGAAAACAAAAGAATTACGCACGAGAACCCTTAATTACCTAGCGAATTTGCGTCCAAATAAAACCGAATCCGATGTGCCTCTTCCACCGTCGTCTTTATCTCGGAATTGTGTTGCCCAATATTGAATCCACAGCGCAGATGTCAAATCCACGATAATGGGATACTCTGGAATCCACCAAAGTTTCAAGCTCAACTTTTCCAGAATTTACCGATAAACATATCTCCTTGAATTTGAGTTAAACGAAAGAAATCCCTTGATGATTGTCAATATGAAGCTTATTGATGCATCAATCACTCTTAATTCATCAAGGAAACAATATATAAACACCATCTAATATAGAATACTTTAGCTTATCTCCTTAGAGAGAATTCTGGACAGGTTAAACCCTAAAACACAAAATCGTAGCATTTTATAGGAAACATGCACGCAAAGATCGCTCAAGCGCAAGAATGATTGTTCGAGCAATGAGACTGGTAGAGGTGGTGCTAACAAACTTCCATGCGTCACTTCGCTTAGTGCTAGACTTACTGTTTGAGCGGTAAAACACAACTCTTAGTATCTCTGAAATCAAATTGAAATACTAGACGATCCAAATCAGCGCTTGAGCACAAACTTGACTGCTCGAGTGGTCCAAGAACTTTGACAAGCTCAAAATCTCCTCTATTCAAGCACACCTTACCTTCAGCATACACTTCTCTACTTAGGCACAAATTGGATTAGATTAGCATCTAAATTCTCACAAACCCACCGATACTAAAAAGATAATGCAATTACATTTAAATAGAGTTTTGTTAAATGGATTGTCAATTACAAAATACCTAACATATAAGATTTGTTGGATTCCCCCTCCCCCCCAAAAAAAAGGCAAAATTAATATAATTTACCAATAAATAAATAAAATGTGAAGTTTCACAAAATAAAACAGAACAGAGCTCTTCTCCAATCTACCAATGTGGATTGGACCCTTAAATTTGGACAGTTAGACTTATCATAGGTATCAGTTCAATAATCAATTATGTTTAGTAAGTAGATCATTTATAAAAATAAATTAAAAACAAATCAATTATGTAAATTTATTGTATTTGTCTTCATATGTTTATAGTTATCAAATCAATATGATTTTTATTTTTTTTAATGAGCAATCTACACATTAAAATCTAAAAATTAAATAGAATATATCATTAAAATAGGACTCATGATGTACCTAGACAAAATGAACCAGAAGCTTTGGTTGAATAGAATAGATTTGGGTACATTATATTGACCGCACTTAAATTTTTTTAAAAAAAATATAGCAAGTCTCACAACTTTGGCATAGTTTACGTTAAGTTCCTCTAAGGTTTTAATTCTCATACATTTAGTCCTTTTTTTATTATTAATAATTCGTTAATCATATACATGAAAAAATTATGCCATTATTTTTTTTACACTAAAATATATATTTCCTTATTCATTTTATATTCTTACATCATTTGTACTAATTTTGATATCTTTAACCATACTAAAAAAAAAAAAAAGAAAAAGAAAGAAAGATTGATATAATTATATTAGGATTTTGAAATTTATTGTATTTCTTTAAGGAGAATTATATGGTACACGCCAAAAAAGTATGTACCATATGCCTCCAATTTGTGATATTTATTATAACCTATTGTAGTGTTAGTTATAATTTGGTTATGACTTGTAATTGTAATTCATTAGGACGTTTGTTATGATTTGTTTTAGTTATAATCGAAAAGGCGGTTAATTATATCATGTTTGGTTATAAAAATCTTTTTTGTAAGCTATGAGTGAAGATGATTTAGTGATGATATTTGTAAATACAATTTTGAAGGTATACACTATATCATTAGCCCTTCTTCAAGGTACATGAGGTGATTATAAGAGCATCTTTACCTGAATTGTCAATTATAAGTTGACACTTTTGATAATAAAATTTGACATACAATTGTGTTCCACCTAAATATTCAAAAGTGAGTTGTCATTTTGATGTATTAACAATGCTAAATTTGATATATAAAAATATTGCCAAATGCTTTTGTTTTCATTAATTTAATGATAAGGACTAATAAAAGAGTTCAAAAAATATTAAAATAAAAAAGATTACATTAAAAATAACAAAATAATAAATTTGACATATCAGGTAGAATATTTTTTTAAATATATTAAATTTGTATATATCAATTTTACACTTGTGCCTTCAAAAAATGTTGACATATAAATTTGGACAAATTACACTAACAGGTCATATAATTTGAGATTTGTGTCACTTTGATCACTGACCTTTAAATTGTAATATATTTGATCCTAAATTTTGAATCTTGTTCTAAATAAAGATAATTGAAGGTATTGTTGCTCCATTTGAAGGGTAATGTTATCATACAACTTATTTTGTGTTGGTTAACTTATATATTATTTGAAATATAATAGCATTTTTTTAATTAATAATGTTGCAACTTTTTTTTATTATAAAGTTTTGTTTGGTTTGGTTTGGTTTTTAGAATCTATTTTCAGAAATTTTTTCTAAGAAATTAAAAATTAAATTGGTGAAAAAAATTAAAAAACACATCATTTTTATATAATTTTATCTTTTGGAAGGGTAGAAATAATTTTTTAAAATATTTTTTTTAGTTTTTATTTTTTTCAAAAGTTAAATATTGTGAAAATTTTGATATCATTATTAAACCAATGCATTATATTAAAAAATTAAAAACTAAAAACATTTTATATATTAAACATATTGATTATACATTAAAAACCTAATAATCATTCATTATATGATAACCATCAAAAAATATATGTAACAACAAATACAATCGTCTATTAAGTGATATTTATCTAAAAATATGAATAAAGATAATTACTCGTTACATGATTATCATCCAAACACTTATTAAAAATTAATTTACTAAAAAAATAAAAATCTAAAAGATTTATTATTTTTATATAATTTTATTTTTGGTGAGCAGAAATAATTTTAAAAAATGTAAAAATAATTTTTGACATTTATTTTTATCAAACTAATTTATATTTTATCAAATTGATGATGTTGCTCTTAAAATAGAGTAACAATATATTCAAGAATAATGCTTGAGAGCTCGAAAATGAGCCCCCTTAATCCTCCTAATGCCCAAAATGATGTCGTTTTGGGCATTAGGCTTCTTTTTTTTTTTTCCTGCCATTTTTGTTCGACTTGCAGAGGAGGGGAGGAGAGGGAGAGGGAGAGAAAGAGGTCGCCGTCGCCGTCGTCTCCGATCCGTCGCAGAACCGTCACCGATCGCCGCGCCTCCGCCTCCATCGCCGATCGCCATGCCTTTGCTCGTCGCCTCTGCCATCGCCGATCGCCGCGCCCCCCGCCTCCGCCTCCAGCCCATTTTTTAGGCCCCCTACAGTCCCCCTCCCCCTCCCCCTCCGTCTTCTTCTTCCTTCTGCTGAAAAAAAAAAAATGGAATTCGGGGCATTCGGGGGTAAAATTAAATATATCATAGTTGAAAAATTAAGATCAAATGATACAAATTTGAAGTTATAATGACGATTAATATAATTCGTTCAAATTATTAACACTGTGTTTGGTTGGGAATTTGAGAAGGGATTTAAAAAGAGAAAAAAAAAAATTAAGTGAAATGTGAATAAAATATACATATATTATACCTAATTTCATATCCCTTTTCTTTTTATCTTTTTAAATATCCTAACCAAATACAACATAAAGGTTTGGGTGAGATTTATCTAATTTACCGAATGGATTTTGATAAGATTTTTGAAAGTTAAAGATTGGACACTGCTTTTTATTGGCGTGAGATGCGAATGTGTGTGTAATCGAAAAGAAACGAAACCCAAGAGAGTCACGTCGAATGGGAATAATGGAGGATAGTTGGTTGGTGGGACGCAAAGAAGGAATCCAGTGTGGGCAGAATCTTGTCCTCTGTTTGGCAAACCCTCATAATAATACTAATACAGATAAGGATAAATTATAAATATATTTTTTGAGGTTTATTTAAAATATAAATTATTTAGTATAGTTTAAAATTTTATAAATATTTTTTTGTTATAATTTTTTATTTAATAAAATTAACTAATAAAATAAAATTTATAATTGTTTTCTTATACAATAATAAAATTATTTAAATTATTAATTAAAATAAATTTATGATATTATTAAAAATTATTAATTAATTTAATAATTTAATAATAAAATAGATATTCTATTATAAAATTTAAAACTTTAAAAAATAAGATATAATTTTCAGAATCATAAATCATATTTTAAACAAACTTATATATTTATAACGGTGGTGTTACATGTATCAATTAGTGTACTAATATTAGTTATGATATTATTATTGATCACACTCATTATATAAATTACAAATATCAAAAATATCTTAAATTATATCATATCACCAATTGATATACTAATTAGTGTATTAACTGATAATTATAACATTAGTCTATTTATAATTTAACTAATAATAAATAAAAGGGCCCAGTCTCCACACATTGGTGGGTCCCATTCATGCCCACTCATAAAGAAAGCAACCACCAGCAGACCCCTCCCACCCTCCATCTCCAGTCCAGTCTCCTCCAGTCTGCACACCAAAAAAAGAACAAACCCCCCCCCCCCCCCCCCTTCCCCCCCCTCTCTCTCTCTCTCTCTCTCTCTCTCTCCACAACAACTTATATTCATTCATTCTCTCTCTCTATCTGAAATTATCAAACTACAAATGAATCCAGATACTCTGTGTGTGTTCATTGATGACTTCTTATTGATCACTTGAAAGCTTCATTTCTGATTTGTTTTTGTGCTTTAATAATACAGTCACTTTTCTATCTTTCTTTTCTTTTTTCTTTGTCCTTTTTTTCGCACCATTTTTATCTCTTCACACCACAAGGGATATGGAGGCTACTAGACTTCGCCTTCTCTCCATCACCTTCTCTCTTATTCTTCTCTTGGATGCCACCACTGCTCAGATGCCAGGTCTCTCTCTCTCTCTCTCTCTCTCTCTCTCTCTCTCTCTCTCTCTCTTTATATATATATTTACTGTTTATTTAGTAAAACTGATGCATATTAAGTTTGTGATTTACTCCAATTTCAAGATATTTCATTGGGTGTTTTTTTAAATTGCAATTTAACTTTGTTCATGAAAAATCAAGATAACCCTGTTCTTGGTGGGTCTCTTGTATAATGATTATATCATAATATTATTTATCTCAATTGTAGCAATTGGTAGTTTCATTTAATTTTGATTCAACCATATGCTACTAATTACATGTTAGATGAGTGGCTCTTTTTTATGGTTTGTTAGTTATCTAATAAATAGAAGTTTCAACCCTGACTATGGTAATTTAACTAACTTTATTTATTTATTTTGCTTTCTATTACCTGAAATTAAAGTACTAAATTGTGTTTGTGGGTACATATATGGATTCATGTTTGCTTGACTCCCAAAAACTAGAAACACAATTCAAGTAGTGTCATTTACTGTTGGGACAAAGGCATCTAAACCTCCAAAGGAGTTTTTTGTTTGCTGGGTTGGCGGAGCAAAAATCAGTTTAACACAAATGACCTGGTCATAATAGCTGAGCAAATGTTAATACCTATTCCATACCTATCTATATGGTGTTCTTCAGGTAAAATGATGAAAATAATGATTTGGCTTACCAATGAATAAGGTAGAGGCCATGTATATATAATAGATTCATGTTACAATTTAGGAAACGATATAAATAAGGTACTAAATTAGTGATTGATATAATCACAGATTATATACATAATACGAAAAATAAAAAAATTCTATGTACTCTAATTCCTGTATTCATCACTCCCCCTCAAGTTGGTGTGAAGATATTCAACAACTGCAGCTTGCCAATGGATGACTGGAGCAATGTCGGTCCTACAGACTTTGTGAACATATCTATTAACTACTGAGAGGAAGAGATAAAGGATAGACTTGCAATACCAGTCCGAACTTTTTCTCGAATGAAATGAATATCAACCTCTATATGCTTAGTACGCTCATGAAGGACAAAATCAGAGGACAGCATAATAGTAGACTTGTTGTCACAAAACAAGGAGGCGTGACCAGTCTTCTCAAAACCCAACTCTGCTAGGATAGAACGAAGTCATAGAATCTCGTATGTTTCCTCTACCATAGCTCAATACTCAGCTTCTGCAGAAGATCTAGAAACAACTCCTTGCTTCTTACTCTTCCATGATATAAGATGATCACCATAGAAAGTACAGAAGTCAGAAGTAGAATGCCAATTAATTCTAGATCTTGCATAATCAGCATCAGTGAAACAAGAGAGCCCAGATTGAGGAGCGGCTGTAAAGAATAATCCCAAGTTAGGAGAGGTCTTCAAATATCTCAAAATGTGATGAACAACATCAAGATGTTCTGTACGAGGTGCATGCATGAATTGACTAACAATACTGACTGCAAATGTTAAGTCAGATCTAGTATTGGACAAATAAATTAGACACCCAACAAGATGCTGATACATACCTGGATCCTCTAGCAACTCTGATGTGAGCTTGACATTGGGATCTATAAGAGTAGAAGCAGGTTTACACCCTAACATACCAGTATCCTGAAGTAGGTCAAGACTCAAGAGTGTACGTTCTCTGAGATAAGGAAATCTCATGCCGTGAGCGAGCTACCTCAATCTTAAGAAATACTTGAGACTTTCCAAATCCTTAAAATCAAAAGTGTGTCCCAAATCCCTTTTTACTTGATCAATGCCTACAGAATCATCATCTATGAAAATAATATCATCCACATAAACCAACAAGACTATACTCTAACCGTCTGATTTACAACTAATGAAATAAGTACAGTCTGAGTGGCACTGAACAAATCCCATGGAGATGATGATAGAACTGAAACAACCAAACCAAGCTCGTGGAGACTATTTCAAGCCATACAAAGACTTGCACAATCAACACACTTTCCCGAATACTCCCCCTCAGCCCGAAAACTAGGAGAAGTTGCCATATAAATTGTCTTAAGAAGATCCCCATGAAGAAATGCATTATTGACATCAAGCTGATAAAGAAGCTAAAAATGAAATGCTGCAAGAGAGATGAGCGGAGGTAAGCTTGGCAACAAGTGTAAAAGTGGCTCCAAAATCCTCGCCAGGAACCTAGGTGAAGCCCTCGGCCACCAAGCGGGCTTTGTAATGGTCAACGGAGCCATCAGCTAGATACTTAATAGTAAATATCCATTTGCAACCCACAGTGCTTTCGCTAGAATGTAAAGGAACTAGATCCCAAGTATGATTTTGTTCTAAAGCTGTCATCTTAGCTTGCATAGCCTCTACTCATTTTGGATTCAGAAGGACCTCTGACACAGAATGAGGAATGACCTTTGATTCAAGCTTGCCAAGAAAAAAACGATAGGTAGAGGAGACCCTGTCATGTAGAAGATACTGAGAAACGGGATGATTAGTACTTACTCAAATAACCCTAACAGTCTGGAGGATGTCGATCGCAAGAGGGGATTAAGACGAGGAGGTGGAGGGGATGTATGTAAAGGAGAAGTACCTGACCTAAAGACCGGAGAAGCGGCAAGGGGGAGCTGAGAGCGAGGGTGACGCGAGTATACCTACAATTGGGGAGGGAGAAGGAGGCGAAGGTGGAGAATGAGGAGGGGGGATAACTTTCATCCATAACCTTGTCCAAAATAGGACTAGGGCAAACACTAGAAGTAACGGGAGTGGAAGCCTGCAAAGGAGGGTTAGTACCAAAAAATGAGAGATCCTTGCAAAAAGTAACATCCAAATTGTGGTGGAAGTGATGAGACACTAGAAGTAACGGGAGTGGAAGGGGAGATAACTTTCATCCGTAACCTCGTCCAAAATAGGACTAGGACAAACACTAGAAGTAACGGGAGTGGAAGCCTGCAAAGGAGGGTTAGTACCAAAAAATGGGAGATCCTTGCAAAAAGTAACATCCAAATTGTGGTGGAAGTGATGAGACACCTGATCAAAACACTTATACCCTTTTGACATGGAAGAATACCCCAAAAAGATGCAACGAATAGACGTGTCATCTAACTTTGTATGAGCGGGACTCTAATCCTAAACAAAACAGGTACACCCAAAGACATGGGATAGGAGAGGAAATAAAGTAATGTGGGGCATAAGAACATGAAACGGGGTAAGACCTTGCAACACACAACTAGGGGTCTATTAATAAGATAGACAATGGTGAGAATAGCCATATGCCAATAGGACATAGGGACACTCATACCACGAAAGAGGCGCCTTACAACAGGCATAAATGACGGATTTTACATTCAACGATATCATTTTGCTTAGGAGTCCGTGGACATATAAGTTATTGAAGAATACTAGTATGATTAAGATGAGAACGAAAAACAGTGGAAATATATTTTCCACTATTATCAGAACAGATATTTCTAACAATTGTACAAAACTAAGTCTTAACCATTTGCAAAAACTAAGCAAAAATGGAAAACACGTCAGACTTATGATGGAGCAAATATACCCAAGTGCATCTAGTGTGGTCACCAATAAAGGTGACGTAATATCTATGGCCAGAAAAAGCAGAAACAAGAGACGGATCCCAAACATTGGAATGTATAAGGTCCAAAGCACTAGAAATTGAAAAGCCCAGCCCATACTTCTCCTTAAAACCCAGGTATTAAGGAGAGGGAAACTAGAACTTTATAGCCAGCACAGATAGGGCAACTTCAGGCGATGTGGGACACATTCCAACACACTCTCTTAGACCACAGCATACAGTAGCTGAACAAACGGCACACCAATCACAGGCCCAACCAAGCTCTGATACCAAGTTGAAAACGCCAGCCCACACTTCTCCTTAAAACCCAGGTATTAAGGAGAGAGAAATTAGAACCTTATAACTAGCATAGATGGGGTAACTCCAGGCGATATGGGACACATTCCAACACTAGAGGCATGAGTCATATGAGGTATGTAACTGGTATGAGTATGTTTAGATAATTCACAAATCACACGATGAAACTTAGAATCTTTGCAAGCTTTATTTAATAAAGGAAAAAAAATTAACGTAAGTATTGAAAATTGACATGACCCATACGTGCATGCCACAATTCTAAAGTTTGAACATTAAAAACACAAGATATAGAAGCAGGCAAAACAGACACCTAAAAACTCGCTAAGGTAGAAGGAGGTTGGTCCGGTGGATCCCCAAAGTAGTAAAGTCCATCGCGCTCATATCCCTTGCCAAAAATCCTCTTTGAACTTAGGTCCTATAACAGACACAAAGAAAGTAAGAAAATAACAGTACAATTGAAGGACTTGGCAAGCTGACTAATGGATAGTTGATTATATGCAAAATTAGGAATATACAAATCAGATGATAGAATAATATCAGGAGATAAAGACACTTGACCCTTATAACGAATTGAGGATAAAGACCCTTCAGCAAGACAAACAGATTGGTCTATAGTAGTAGGAACTGGAGATAAAAGAAAGGAAAACTCACCCATCATATAATCATGAGCCCCAGAATCCAAAACCCATCAGGGATTAGTAGACTGAACATGAAAAGCAGTAGAAGTATTTGTTGCGAGAGTAGTAGTAGTGGAGGATGATGGGCTAAAAGAATAAGTGGTCAAAGTCCCTAGCTGAGTCTCAAGCTGGCCAATCTGAGTCTGTAACTGCTGTAAAAGAGGAATACTTGGAGACCCAGAAGCATGAGAGGCCTCCACGAAAGCAGCAGTGTGAGGTGTGCGAGAACCACGAGGGCGAGAAGATCGTTGCCTTAACTCAAGATGAAATTTGAATAGCGAGCCTTGACATGACTAGGAGCCTCACAATGATGACAGGTAACTAAACTAGTAGAACCCCGAGAATCAGAGTTTGCTGCAAGAGCCATCCGGTCAGATAAGATAGGAGTCACTGGAGTAGTGGTGGGCTGAACCAAACGCCAATGACGCTCATCACTATCAATGGTGGTGAAGGCCTCATAGAGGGATGGCATGGGCGATGTCATTAAAATCTGATTTCAAAGAGATTCAAATTCAAAGTTTAAACCCATTAGAAACTAGTAAGTGTGCTGGCGGGCAAGGCGGTTGGACACAATAGTGGTGGCGTCTACTAGTAACTCAATCAAAGGCTCATATTGAGCCAATTCCTCCCAACGGACCTGAAAGTATCTAAAGAATTCTGACACAGAAAGACCCAAAGCAAACTGGGAGGCATGAGCAACGTCCTGATAGAGCTTAAAGATGCAAGCATCATTATGAGCATGGACATACATCTGAGACAAGGCAGGCCAAAGACTCGAAACCGCATCGCAATAAAGAAACATGTGGTAAATATGGTCCTCTATAAAGTTGAACATCCATCCTAGAATAGTGTAATTATCTATATCCCATTGGGCACAAGTAGGATCTGTCGTTGCAGGCTAAATAGAAGATGAGAGCCAATGAGATTATGAGCCTTTCCCTTTTCCCCTAAATAGAGTTTAAGGGAGTGGCCCCAAGCAACAAATTTTTCCCATTCAAACACTACACTCGTAATGCAATGAACAAGAGTGTGATGAGAAAGAGAAAAATCAGAACTCACTGGGACAGGTTTGGTGGGCATATCAGAAGCAACAACAAGGGATGTGCTAGTCATGGTGGATTAATAAGGGCTGAAAAATACAAAATCACAGCAACACAATGCAGAAAAATACAAGAAGCCGAAAAAACTCAACGGTTAATCCAAATAAATGCTATCAAACAAATTTGGTAGTCTACTAAATAAAAAAAGGCCAAAAAAGTGCTTAATACAGCAACACCACATCCTATAAAGGGAAAAACAGGGATTGAATTGCCTTAGAAGAGTTGCCGAAGCATTTATGGCTAGGAAACACTCTGGTCGGCAGCCAACAAGACCCTTGGCAACAGTAGGGCAGTTTACCGAGGGGTGTAGAGGGTTGGGTAGATGGTTTCGAGGGGTCTAGGCTGGTTGGGTGGGGCTGTGGGGTGAAATAGAGGGCTGGAAGTGGACTGTCGGCACTTAAGGAGGAAGGAAGAAGATGAAACAGTGGTTTGGCAGTGGGGCAGGGGTGCCGACAATGGCTGGGCAGTGGACTAGGGTTTTTGTGCTTTGGCTCTGATACCAAAAAGGATGAAAAGAATGATTTGGCTTACTAGTGAACGAGGTAGAGGTTATGTATATATAATTCATGATACAATTTAAGAAATTATATAAACAAGGCACTAAATCAAATCAGTGATTGACACAATCATAGATTATATACATAATACTAAAAATAAAAAGATTTTATATACTCTAATTCCTATATTCAACATAGGTATGGTTAGTTGGCTACTACAAACAGTGGAATTTTCACAAATGTGGTTCATGGGGAAATAACAAGCCAATGATATGGTTGATAGATAAGAGTTAAACTATGACTCAAATTTTTTGGTAATGATATCGAGAGTAACATTTGTTTAACCTTAGATCAGGCCACATTCATTAAACTCCTTTGCTGCCTGAATCCCTTTACCTAGTTATATTTGGAAAAGAAATTTAATGATAACATTTAGTTCCAACACATCAAAGCTTTGAGTCTATTGTTGTCCAATTAATAGAGAATTAGTCGAAAGAGGTTTTCTCAGCGTGTTTCTTTCCCAAACAACATCACACACAATTTTACGACATGCTTATAAAATCATGTTCAGAGTTCTGTCTAATGTGTTTGTTAAGCAACCTCCATAGCTGTCTTCTGATTGTCTCCTTTTTGTATATTTGCTAATATTCAGTTATGTATATTACAGCTTAGATTTAGGCCTAACTTACGTTCATACCTTTTATATACTTTATGTAACATGTTTATATACCTACATTGATATGAATACAAATCTATTCCATTCTCAAAACTCTTACATGGTATTAGAGGGTCTCACGACTAATATATATCTATATATATTTTACTCTGCCTTTCCTTGCTTTACTAAAATCAGAAGCCTTACCTTCCCTGCCATGAAGCCGACCCCATTTGATGAGACTTAAGGCTAGGCTTGGTTTGGTTTGATTTAGGTTTACCTTCCGTGCCATGAAGCTTCTCAAACCCTCTGCCTTCCTCTGCGAGTCCTGTCAACACTCATTGAACCTTTGTCATTATAATTTTAACAAATTTTGATAAACTCATAAACCACCTTATCTAAGTAGTTTCAATCCACCTTATCCTTTAAACTTTGTTAAACTCAACTACCCACGTTTTGTGGGAAGGTTCCTCACATTTGTGAATTCTTACTGCATTATGAACTCAAAACTTTAAAAATTCAATTAGCTCGAGAACTTCCACATTTGATCCATATTTCTCTAACTGTTCCAAAATTATCACTTCTGATCCACATTTCTTTAATTGATCAAAAAGTATGACATTTTTTTTTTTTAATCAAAAAAGGAACTCCTAGGCTTGCACTACTTGAGCAAGGCAGTTTCCAAGATCTTTGTTCAGATTCCACAACTCTGAGCAAGTTGGTTTAATATGGAAACTGGTGATGCACATAAATATTTAATGAGATGTGCGCACAATTATGAAATATGAATTTCTATTTTCATCTCTTACACAACTACACTGAACTCATTGCTTGCCGTTGTCAAGAGAAGCCTCCATTGAACAGCAAAAGGTATATTGCTAAAATTGAATGGTTACAGTTGATTTTGAAATTTTTTTTATATATTTTATTTGGGGTTGATTTTTATTTTTCTCTCATTTTGTTTTTACTGTGTTGAAAGCATGAGAAAAGGGTAGAGAGAGAATATTAATAATGGTGCCTGAGGCCTCGTTTGGGAACATGCTATTTTAGTAACTTTTTGGCTTTTTGACTAAAATATGAGGTAAAAAAAACTAGTATGTTTGGGGTGATTTTTTGGCTTTTTACGAAAAGATGTGCAAAAAGTAGAGAGAGAAATTTTTGACTTTTTGGTATAAGTTATAAGTTTTTTGATTTTTTTAGTACTTTTTTAGCTTTTAGGCTAAAACAGCTACTTGCCAAACGAGGCCTGAGTGTTTTCTATATATTATATATTAATATAAACACCATAAAGGAATTTTAGAAGTTAAGGTTTTGAAGCAGAGGATGCAATGTGTGATAGTAACTATGAAATAAAGTGGCAGTCTTAGTGGTGATGGCATAGAATAAGTTGCCCGAATTTACCATAGTCATGTTATTTTTGCACACTTTGTGTGTGTGTGTGTATTTTTTTTCCTCTTTGCCATGACTATTTCCTTAAAACCAAATGTGGAAAACAAGCATGATCTGCATTTAATGTTAAGAAAAACTTCTAACTTCTGAGCGAGTTGAAGTTTCCATTTGAATTACAACTGAAAAATTTTATTCTGAAATGTCAATTTGCACTACTCTGATTGTTTATTGACCAACTTTTTTATTAGTTGTATGGAAGGTGATTGACAAAATCCAACTACGATGTGTGTAGTAGTACGTCCTTTGAAGTTATGGTTTAATTCCAATTTTCTAATTATTTTGTTTGGAAATTATTGCAAGGTCATCTTAAGTAACTCACTGTAACAGTAGATCCCTGTTGCTCTTAGAAATTCACATCAAACTATAAACTACTTGAGGAATAGGATCATAACTGTGGTGGTTCCAATATATAAGGGTATATATTTTATTATGGAAAATGATAACTTGAATTTTTGTGTTTGACAAGTGCATGATAAAAACTAGAAAGGTAGAAAACAGAACAGCAAAGCAAGATGAGCTTGAAGCTATTTTAATGTGTTACGAAATTTCAAGTAATGCAATTTTGGCTTAGGTTGTGTATATTAGGATAGGATGATTGCAAGTATTTACCCTTAAATATGTAGGTACAAAAAGGTTGCCCTAGGTTTTCTTAAAGGCACATGACCTCATAGAGCTAACTTCGGAAAACTTAGATTGAGAGTTGATAGATTTTTGAATTATATGCATTGCTGGTTTTTAAAGTTCCATGCCAGAGTCTTGAAATAAGAGATGACAATCTTTCTTTCTACTTATTCCCGTCATACTGACAAATTTTATCATGTGAAGCAGGTTTTGTAAGTTTGGACTGTGGCGGTACAGGAAATTTCACCGATGAACTTGGCCTCGAGTGGACTCCTGATGATCGTCTTATTGATGGGAAAATAACTAATATTTCTGTAGCAAATGAGACAAGGAAACAATATCAGACTGTAAGATACTTCCCTGCTGATGACAGGAAGTACTGTTACACACTTGAAGTCATAAGTAGAACTAGGTACCTTGTAAGAGCGACCTTCTTGTATGGTAACTTTGACAACAATAATGTTTATCCAAAGTTTGACATCTCCCTCGGGGCAACTCATTGGGCTACCATTGTTATTTCGGATGCTAATACAATAGAGCTCCAAGAGTTAATATTTCTGGCTTTAGATCCGACCATAAGTGTGTGTTTATCCAATGCTACAACAGGGCAGCCTTTTATCTCTACCCTTGAACTCCGACAATTCAATGGTTCAATCTACCTTACACAGTATGAAAGTCAGTTCTATCTCAGCATATCTGCAAGAATAAATTTTGGGGCAGATAGTGAAGCTCCTGTCAGGTATGCCTTTGGCTATCTAATTAGAATTGTTTGGTCTTTCAGAGTCCGCATTATCTAGATGCTAATTGCAATGGGCAAACAAAACTTATAAAACAAAAACAATTCAAATTATTTTAAATATTCTCAGACAGGGACAGTTCAGTTGGTAATCTGTTATTTTGTTTGGATGCCCTTGGATTAACCATATAAAATTATGTATATATCATGTCCTCTTTTTTCACCCCTCAATTCAGGTATCCTGATGATCCATTTGATAGAATATGGGTATCTGACTCTCTTAGGAAAGCAAATTACCTTGTTGATGTTGCTGCGGGAACTGAGAAAGTATCCACCAATATGCCAATTGATGTAAGCTCTGGTGAAAGACCACCGCAGAAAGTGATGCAGACAGCCGTAGTTGGTAGAAATGGATCATTAACTTACCGCCTAAATCTGGATGGTTTTCCGGGTTTTGGTTGGGCATTCACCTATTTTGCAGAAATTGAAGATGTGGGTAACAAGAGCAGAAAATTTAGGCTGGTTCTCCCAGGCATGCCTGATCTCAGCAAACCTATTGTTAATATTGAAGAAAACGCTCAAGGAAAATATCGTCTGTATGAGCCCGGATACTACAACATTTCTCTCCCTTTTGTCTTGAATTTTAGATTTGGAAGAACGTCTGATTCTTCCTTGGGCCCACTCCTGAATGCAATGGAGATAAATAAGTATCTTAAGAAAAATGATGGTTCTGTTGATGGTAAGCATTGTTATGCTTCTTTGGTGCAGGCACGGCTTTATACATATTTTTCCTGATTCAAAATTCACTGTTTTTCTGTTGTTTTCTTTAATTTGAAGGATAGTTACTTCCAATATTGGTATACATCATAATTATTTCTTCTCTTTTTTCTAAACTTTGTACATTACACAGGAGCACACTCTTTGCTTCTTAAGTAGCTTTTTCTATTGATTTAAAATTTTTTAAGCCTTACCATCTGACTCTAAGTTTTGTGAGTTACAGGATCAGTAATTGCTAGTGTGGTCTCACTCTACTCATCAACAGATTGGGCACTAGAAGGTGGTGACCCATGCCTTCCAGTTCCATGGTCCTGGGTCCAGTGTAACTCAGATCCTCAACCTAGGATAACTAAAATGTAAAGGTTTTGCCCCCTCTTGATTCTCCTTAAATCTTGCAATGTCAACATAGTTTGTGCCTCTTTTGTGGTTTTGTATTCAATCTCACAATCATGAATATAGATATATGATCAAGTGGGAAAAAAATAAGTTCTAACAGTTTCATCAAATCTATTGTCTCCCTGGTACTTGCCAGTGAATTGTCTGGGAAGAATTTGACGGGCAATATCCCTACAAACTTGACAATGTTGAGTGGCTTAGTTGAGCTGTAAGTTTCACATTTCATTCTCATTTTTCTGGTTGGCAACAAAAATTCCCTTGTTTAGTACCAAGTCAATTGGAGTCCCCTACATTATGTATTTATCTGCTGATTGCAGGTGGCTTGATGGGAATTCACTGACTGGTCCAATACCTGATTTTTCTGGATGCGTGGACTTGAAGATTATGTAAACCCAATTTTTTTGTTCTCTCCTCATGAAAATTAAAAATTATCTGACTTTTATTTTTGTTTATGTAGTCATCTGGAGAACAATCAATTGACTGGTGAGCTGCCTTCCTATATGGCAGAGCTACCAAATCTGAGGGAACTGTAAGTTTTGAGAACTTCTAACTAAAATTAGTACAAATGCATAATAGTTTGAGAGACTCTACCAAAACCTCTCAGTAGAGGAACTCATAGTATTTGTTAATCTGAAATGATGCACTGAAATGATTACTTGTTTCTGTAAGTGAAAATGGAGTGACTCTCCTACCCACTGCCCTGGGCCAAAAAAAAAAAAAACAGAAAACAAAAAACAATGGCACACAAAAGAAGATTCTTAAGCCCAGTTAACACCATGTGCTGCTGGACATCAACCTGACAGTTGTCGTTGATGCAAATAAATGATTTCTTCTGATTTTGGGTTTTCTTTTTCGTATTTTGTATTAGTTCTGTATCTCACATCTATTCCACTTCTGCTGAATGAAAGGTTTTGGTTGCTTGATAAATCTGATGGTTGCAGGTACGTGCAGAACAATAAGTTATCTGGAACAGTGCCAACAGGTCTTCTCAATAATAATCTTGTTTTCAAGTGGGTGTCATTTCTTTACTTGTAGAATTGAATCATGAGAATGTTATGTGTTGATTATTTTATGGAATATTTACATGTTTGCCTTTTGATTTATGTTGTCTTGTATGTGTAACATGTGTTGCAACCTCATTTGTTTCTAAGATTATTCTATTTTCATGAGTTACAATGCATCATAGTTTGGTTTGGGTATAAGGACAGACAGAAAGATGCATCTGGTACAAAGATAAGATGTCCGACACATAGATCTTGAAAATTTTGAAGTTCATAGACAACCAAAACAGCATTTTGCATACATTTGGAGTGATTGACTATGCAAATACATTGTACTTTTTAAGTAACTAATTTTGTTTATTGTAGTTGTTCTTGTAACTTGTGTGATGAATAACCTCACGTTAAAATTCATCCTAGCTGACTTAGTATTCGTTCAGATTAGTTGGGCTCACAAGTTCATTGCAAGCACAAAAGTTGGAGATATATAGATGTTTCATAAAGACAGCTTGTTTGCATGTATTATGCTCTAGATGGAGGCTGTACATTTTTCCTTTTTGATATCAAGATTTTTTGTTTGTTTGCTTTTATATTGCTTTGTCTGATTCTTTGACATAATATCATTTAACAGTGATGCGATCAACCGGTCCAAGATCACCCATCTTTCCATTTGACGTGCATCTCTACTTTTGATATCAAATATTGATGAAATGTTTTAACTTAATTTTTAATAATCAAGAAAGTTGAATGTTGTTGACCCACAAATTGAAATCGCAATATCTGCTACTTGTGCAGAATTGAGATCACAACAAATTGACCAACAAACTGACTTCAGATTACAATATCTGCTACTTGTGCAAACTTGGCTCATCCAATATGTTTTTACACAAATTCTTGCACTTCCACTTGTACTTCAAAATAGTAAGCTGTATTTTTATTATTATTATTATTTTTTCTTTTGATTCTCCTCAGCTACACTGGGAATATTAATCTTCATAAAGGGGGCAACGGAGGGAACCACAATAAAATTATTATTGGATCATCAGTTGGGGCTGGTGTTTTGCTTATTGCTATCATTGCCTCCTGCCTACTAATGCACAAAGCAAGGAAGAATTATTCTAAGCAAGGTCAGAGTGTGGTACTATTTGATTATAGTTTGTTAATGTAATAGTAAACCTTAGTTGGCTTGACATGATATTTTGTCATTTTTTTAGGCCAGCTTGGACATCCTATGCCTGCTGAAAGACTTGTTTCATCCTTGGGTGATGCTGCCAAAGATGCTGCACATTGCTTCACATTTTCTGAAATTGAAGATGCCACGAATAAGTTTGAGAGAAAAGTTGGCTCAGGAGGCTTTGGAGTTGTATACTATGGAAAATTGATAGACGGAAAGGAGATCGCGGTCAAAGTTTTGACTAGTAATTCCTACCAAGGAAAGCGAGAATTTTCAAATGAGGTAACTTTCCTCATTATTATTCAACCCCTTTCTATGTGTTACATGCTTTCCTTTTGTGGATACTTTATTCTCCCTGCTTACGTGTGCTCGTAAGGTATTTATGTCACATATTTGTACAACAATTGACAAAATATATATTTTAGATGACACAGATAGCCAAAGTAAGTGATTGTTGGTCCAATACACATCTATATGTGGTTGATCACATTTAAATTTTGAACATTGAATGGTCCATTGGTGGTTGTATTGTATCCTACATGAAGAGTGTTTGAGACTAGATCAAACTGAAATGGATATATGTATGAAGGAGGCATAACCCTCAATGGGTTGAATAGGAGTGTAAGTGCTTCAGTTTGACCGGGGTTGAGGGAAAGTTTAGCACCAAACTGAACCGTTCATTTTTGTTGATTGAGGAACTGAAACAGATTGCATGTTACGGTTCAGTTTTTTTGGGTTTTGTCAGTTTGGTGTGTAGAGGAGGGATTCAAATGAGGTTCTAAAGGGTTCCCACATTGGCAATAAATGAAGAAAAAGGGTGGAAATTGTTCTATAAATGCCTCACTCCTTAATTTTTATTATAGAAAGTGCATTGCTAGGCACTTACCTTCTAGTGTTCAAAGAATTAAGTATAAAAGTTTTAAATATAATATTTCAGTCGGTTTGGTTTGTCTCTGTGTAAAAATTTTCAAAACCAAAATAGACCGTACATTACAAAAAACAGACTGAAAACCGAAATTTCGGTTGGTCTTGAGCAGTCAGTTCAGTTCTAACTGTTTTTCTTTTGAATTGATATCGATGGTTGTGTTTTATAACCATTCGTACATTTTAAATATGCATTCTGGTACATGTTTTTGTAGCAGTTATTGCCAATGGTTTCTCCCATCTCTCTCCCTCTCTTATGTGATACCCAGTCTCATGACTGCATCCACCAAGGTTCTTTTGTCTTTTTAGGACCATGAGTGGCATCAGAGCAGGGATTTTGACACTGTTGTTTCCAGAAAACTACATTTCACAGATGCAAATTTTGTCTTCTAATTCGATCTACTAGATCTTAAATGAGGCTTTTGGTATCACCATTGCAGCAGCAGCAGCAAAAAAGCTAGTGGGAAGAGAAATGTGTTTGGCTTAAAAGTCAGACCGATAAGGCCTTGTTTGGGAACAAGCTATTTTGGTAACATTTTGGATTTTTGGTTAAAATATGAGATAAAAAAAAAAAATTAGTATGTTTGGAATGACTTTTTGATTTTTTACGAAAAGATGTGCAAAAAGTAGAGAGAAAAGAGAATATTTGACTTTTTGGTATAGATTGTTGGCTTTTTAGTCTTTTTAGTTACTTTTTTACTTTTAAGCTAAAACAGTGAGTTGCCAAACAAGGCCTTAATTAGTATTTTTCGACATCACCAGTGGCTGCGGATTTTATTTTATTTCCTGGGACAATGTATTGTCATGTAAAACGGAGGACTGATTTGTTCATAACAAGTCATAGTAGTTTCATTGCTGCATTCTTGGAGTTCTTGTTGGCAACAGAGAAGATGATCAGAAAAAATCATCAGTTTGCATCAAGACAAACTGCTCTGTTTTACTAATTGATAGGTGGGCTTGGGCTCAACTGATTTGATCAATTTAAATCCATGTTTTGGATTAATACAATAGGCCCAAATGTCATGGACAGTCCTTGTTCGATGTAAGTCAATATAAGCACTAAACACTTGTATTATGACATTTTCACATAAAAAAGAGGTAAAAAGACATTGGTATCTGTCAGACCTGACAATTTCAAGAATCATAAAACCCATAAATTGTGAATCAAATTGTGTATTGAATTGTGAATACTATGATTCACCGCCAATTATTTCCCAAAATAGATTCACCTATAGATGTGCATTGATCTGTACATCATGAATTGAATTGTGAATTGTAAGATTCTGACAACTATAGTGTCATAAATGAAAATAAAAGAACAACACCGAACGAGAAGAGAGAATGCAAACAGGGATCAATTGTAAATGGAGAGAATTGAACCCAAGATTTCCCCCAACCTGAGCTTTGATACTATGTCAAGTCACGAGTTGTCCCAAACGCTTAAGATGCTAGGAAATGGGCTATCCAAAAGAGGGACGGAAGATAAGACTAGGTTAGCATAGAATTATAGGAGAAACAGAGAAGGGATTAAGGAGAAGGGGACAGAGAGGGGAAGGGAGAGAGAGAGAGAGAGAGAGAGAGAGAGAGAGAGATAGAGAAGGAAAAGCTATAAGAATCAAATCTAAAATTTATTATTCTCTAGGAGGGAAAACAAAGATCAGGAAATTTCGTTTGAAAACCAGCACACATGCATTGGAGAATCTTCTGGGGTTTATGATATTCTAAGAATAAGGACTCTTTATCTCTTTCGAGAACTAAAATTCACAAAATGAGGACTCTTTAGCTCTTTAGAAACCAAAAATTCTCAAAATAAGGGCTCTTTAGCTCTTTGGAAACCAATTAACATTTGGCAATAACTTAAATAAAATAAAAGTACAATCCACACTTGTGTCCTCATTGAAGAGTTGGCATGCAAACAATCAACAATTTAAAGTCATCTTAAAAGAATGAACTTGGAACTGGTCTTTAGAATGTATACAGTTAACCCTAGTTAGGTTAGAGTTCTATAATGCAGAGTGACTTGGCTACATATATTTTCCAGTCAGATCCAAGTAAATAAATCATGCCCATTAAATCCAGAGCACTCATTCTCATTGCCTCAACTCACATTCCTTTTGGCCTTCCTCTTGTCCTTTCAGCCTCCGAAGTTTTTGGCATATGTTGATTTAGTTTCAAAACTAGATGAGGAAACATTTTTCTTAACATTGTTTCATGATGCTTGCTCCTTTTTTCTTAGTAATGAAGTTTATTTTTCTATGTCACGTGGAATTTTCTTTAGGTCACAAAAGAAAAAGAAAAGGTTATTGTGAACTTACCCATGCTTTCATTTGACATAGGTAACTCTTCTTTCAAGGATACATCACAGGAACCTGGTACAGTTCCTTGGTTTTTGCCAAGAAGAAGGGAAAAGTATCCTGGTTTATGAATTCATGCACAATGGAACTCTCAAGGAACATCTTTATGGTAAGCTACATTTTCCTTCTAAATACAAATAATTTTGATTTTTTCTTTGCTTACCCAGATAAAAATTTTCTTAGGACCTCGAACATATGAGCGAAGCATCAGTTGGATCAAGCGCCTTGAGATTGCTGAAGATGCAGCAAAAGGTTTGTTAGCCAAGGGATAAAGTTATTTTTTTTTTTTTAGCTAAAGAGAATCCATTTTTTTTTTAGCTAAAGAGAATCCAGTTCCTACTTCAAAGAAACTAATTGAATTCTTGTGTTCTCTTTCTTGTTTTAGGAATCGAATACCTTCACACAGGCTGTGTTCCAGCAGTTATTCACCGGGATTTGAAAACCAGCAATATCCTTCTCGACAAAAACATGCATGCAAAGGTTTCAGATTTTGGTCTCTCAAAACTTGCAGTGGATGGAACTTCCCATGTGTCGAGCATAGTACGTGGCACTGTTGGGTATCTGGATCCCGAGTAAGGATTTTTCATAAATCTTCAAGTTCTATTTTTTTTTTTTCTTTTCCTTGAAATTAAGTTAAATACCATGTTTGGCATACTTTCAAATATATTGGTGGCAGTACAATTCTTGTTGGGGCTAGCAAGATTCCACTCACTGTAACCCATGGATCTTACAGATATTGGGTTTTAAGCCAAACTACTCACAGCCCCCACATGGAAGTCTACCCACAAGAGTTACAGTACCAAATGCCTTCATATAAATGTAAATAAAGAACTGAAATAAGTAATGTCAAGAAGAAAGGGTAAGTGAAATTTATGTGTTGTCAATAGAAAGGTAACTGGAGTCGGATATATATTAAAGATAAGAGAATGAAATTGGTCATCTGATTGTATGAGAATATCATTGCAGATATAAGGATGAGCTAAGAAGCACATATGCTTCTATGGTGGAGTTGTGTCATGTCGAACACGACAATCTTCGGAGACTACTAAAAGTTTGTCTGACACTTTCTCAACATGTCTTAATTAAAATGTTAAATAGAAATTAAAATGCAATTTGTACTTGAATGATATCTTTGAAAGCTATAAAATATATTGTTTTTTTAAAAAAATTTATGTTAATAGTGTTATGTTTTTTTTCAAAACTATTCATGTGTTTGACATAAAATAATTTTATAAAAATATAAATTTTTAACTTGTCCCAGGCATGTCTATTTAAAATTGTCATGTCAGTGTGTCCTTATTGTATCGCGTGTCCATGTCTGTGTTACGTAGAGGACAAGAGAATGAGCTCACTGTAAGCACAAGAGGAGCTCCCACTTCATATTTGATTCCTTCTGTTCTCCTCCATCCATGCACATTTTCTAAATCTTGATGTTTAAATAGGCCAAAGATACAATTTTATAATCACCTGTACATACTATTACTGACCCAGTTCACTTGTATGTTGAATTCTGCAGTCGATTTTCCCCCCTACTAATCTTCTAGAGTTTCTAATTTGTGAAATGTGAATGAATTTTTGTTCACATCTAAAATTTGATTATTTGATGGCAATTGGCCTATAGAACTGTGTATAACAAATACATGCATTTCTGTATTCAATCAATTGCGACTGCTTGGGCGTGTCTGGACATCACATTGAATTTGATTGATCGGATCAACATTTCAAATTTGGAATCTACCATTTGAAATAGATCCAATTTTGGAAAAAATTAGTTTGGTAACTTCATGGTACTGTCAGAAATTGCATGATAAAAAAGATCAAGGTTTTGTAGCATGTACACGGCTTTCTCAGAGCCTCAGGCTTCATGTTATCATCTCATTTCTGAAGGTTTGAAATTTTTTTTACACGTGATGTGCAGGTATTACATCTCTCAACAATTAACGGACAAGAGTGACGTTTATAGTTTTGGTGTGATCCTTCTCGAGCTGATATCTGGTCAAGAAGCGATATCTAACGAAAGCTTTGGTGTTAACTGCCGTAACATAGTCCAATGGGTAAGTTGGCCTAACTCCAAAAACACAGGACTATTGAAATTTTGAATGGGCAAATATATATCGTGAATACTCTAATTAGTCATACTTCTCAACTTCTATTTCGTGGCTCACATCTTTCGTCTTTTTAGACATCAAACTGATGGCTGCATACTTGATTCAGAATCTTTAGACTTAACATGCGTAAAATACCTTAGAAAATGTCGTGGTTAACTGGAATATCTTCTTTGTTTTTTATTTTTGAAATGAGAGCTGCTATTTACCCGTACCTTATTTCTTTGGACCCCCACTTCTTTGAACCCCTACCCACTTAATTGAGTCCCTCCCATTTTCTCTTGGAACCCCCACTTTAATCCCAACTATACCCCTCCTTGTCCAAATCCAATTCTTTCCTGTGCTTCACCGGAAATTTGAAAGCCTTCTTCATTCGATGCTCATCCACCATGAATTCTCTCTCCAATTCGCTCACTGCCAATAAAGGATCCCAATTGACAAGCTCAAGCACTTTCTTTCTACCATCTTCAACCACAACTCTGAAATAATTAGGGTATTTCGAAACCTTATCTCTGAAATCTTCAGGAATCCCAAACAACAACCTGCAATGATATAATTTGCTCAAAGCAATTCTCTTCTTCACAGACATCATTAGTAGTCTTCGAACATTGTTGACTCTATGTTCCTCCATTGAATCCATGATTCTCTCTCTTGTTTGATCAGAGGGTCCGTGAAGTCAGTGAACCCGAACCACATCTTTGGAGTCGTGGTGGTGGTAGGTTTGGAAGAGGAGGGGGTGGCGGAGGATGGAGTGGTGGCTGTGGGGGAACCCTACATCTATATAAGGAACCATTTGTAATTGTAATAGATAGAACAAAACAATCAGATATCAATCAATAATACATATATTTTTACAATTTGCTCAAAGCAATTCTCTTCTTCACAGACATCATTAGTAGTCTTCGAACATTGTTGACTCTATGTTCCTCCATTGAATCCATGATTCTCTCTCTTGTTTGATCAGAGGGTCCGTGAAGTCAGTGAACCCGAACCACATCTTTGGAGTCGTGGTGGTGGTAGGTTTGGAAGAGGAGGGGGTGGCGGAGGATGGAGTGGTGGCTGTGGGGGAACCCTAGCTCACAGTGGAGCTTGTTGGCGTCATCGAGACGAAGGATGTTGTGGGGTTGCTATGGACGAGAAACTGGCACATTTGTCAGGCGGCGGTGGAGACGTGCTCCAAGGCAGTGTCTTACAGCCTTTTCCGGAGTTTTCCGGTAAAGCTCCGGCAGACGAGTTAGGGTTAAGGTTTGGGACATTAGGGTTCAAAGGTTAGGAATAAGGGTGTTGTTGGAATTTTATATTTGAATAAAATTGGAATTAAAATAAAAAAAATGAAAGAGTGGGGGTCCAAAGAAATAAGGTAGGGGTAAATAGTAGCTCTCTTTTAAAATAGTATTTTTTGCACTATTTTTGGGCTTGCATATATAAAAGAAATTGAATTTGTTAAAATGATGCCGCTGATGATGTAGCTGTTTGGTTAAAACCTTGGGTATAAGGATCCATGGACAGTTTGGGGTTTTCCTTTTTATATATGGTATTGGCATGTTGGGTTACTCTATTTACACCTCAAATCACCTCATTATACCACTCTTCTAATTGCACCCCCTTAAAAAATATAAATTTTTCATTTTATCTCCGTACACCCTCCATAATTCCAATTATACCCTCATCCCTAACTTCCTGTCTCTCTTTACACCCAAAACCTTTCAAACCCTCACTTCTACACCTGTGACTGCCACCCCCAGCCCTTTTCGACTCTGGCAATCAACACTTGTAGTCCTTCCCACAGCTGTAACCACCAGCACGTAGTCCTCCACCATCACGACCACCACCCAGTAGCCCAACAGCAGCAAACAGCAACCCCCGCCCCCCCCACCGCGGGAACTTCACCCGCATGATCCCTACCCATACAATGCTATAAGAAAGAGAGGTTTCAAATTTAGTGTTTTCAAACGGAGGAGAAGGGGTGCTTGGAGGTGGCAGTGAGCAGCAACAGTGGTGGTCCCGGTCGAGATGGTGAGAAGTGGGTGGGTGGAATGAGAATTAGAGTTTTTAGGGTATTTATTTTTTGGTTAATTTTAGGTAAGCATTAAATTATAATTAAAAAATTGAAAAATTAAGGATGTAATGAGGTGGATTTGTGGTGTGAATAGAATCATCCTGGCATGTTTGGTTGTGTCTTCATTTTCTTTGTTTTTGTTTTTGTTTTTTAATTTTCATTTCATTTTCTTGTTTTCAGAAACAAAAACAATAAGAAGTTTGAAAACAGTAATCATTTTCACTTTTGTTTAAAAGCAGTTTTTGAAATTTTTTCGAAAACAGCCTTTTTGATGTTTTCCTAAAAAGCTGGTAATTTTTAGAATTTGAATATACTATTTGGATGTGTTCACTTGACAAGTTTACTGTTATTTCTAGTAAATAAAAACACAACCAAATAGGTAATAGCCTTCTAATTTTTGGAAGTTGGAACACAGGCAAAATTACATATTGAAAACGGGAACATTCAAGGAATCATTGACCTCTCGCTGGGTGAATATGACATCCAATCAATGTGGAAGATAGCGGAGAAAGCTCTGATGTGTGTCCAACCCCATGGAAGCATGAGGCCGTCAATGTCAGAAGTCATAAAAGAGATTCAAGATGCTATTTCGATCGAAAGGGGAGCAAAGGCAGCAAGAGAAGGTAACTCTAACTCGGATGAGATATCAAGGAATTCTATGCATTCTTCCTTGAATATGGATTTAGCTGCAAGCGAAAATTACTTGTCGATTGATGAGTCAATTACGCAGCCAACAGCTCGGTAGTTGCTTGTTCATGTATGAGCTCATAAACATTGTTTTTATTATTATTATATTTTTCCATGTTAGGATTACTTGATTTTGACTGTGAATTATGTAAAAAGTGAAGAGCAGGGTCTCTGATGTTTTTTGGTTGAAAGTGTAACTTGATGGGTTAAGAGTATTTATCTATTCTTGATCTAAACTCTGTTGTTCTGGGAGAGAAACAGATCTATATCTTTCTGTGCGAGTCGATGATCTGTGTGTACGTTGCTGTTAATAAATTATGTAACCAGTAGTAGTTCCATTGGATTGGCTCCAAGTACATATATTCTGTTTGTTTATTTTGGTAGAAAATATTTTCTGTAAAAAATGTTTTTAATATATTTGATTGTAATTTGTAACTTTGGAACTAATAAGCTAGTGGTTGAATTAGTGGGGGTGTTGGAGGCGGTGGCTGGTGGTGGTGGTGATGGGCTGGTGGTGTTGGTTGTGGTAGGGTGGTGATAGTATAGTGGCATTGGGCCATAAAATATTTCACTTTTAAAAATTATAAAATGTTGTCTAAATAAATTTATTTATGTTTTGTTAATTATGGAAAACATTTTGTGTTATTTGTCGTTTGTTTTTTTTTTTGTTTTTGCCATAATTTTTTTTTTTTGTGTGTGACTTTTTTTAATTGTTCAAATTGTTGCTTGTCTATCTCAATTGGTTCAATTTATTTTGTACTAGTGGAATTGTTATGAGTGATGCCATAATCATAGCCACGAATATTTGAGGAGTATTGACATTCAAAAATAAAAATTATGGATACAATTATGGCTTTGTTAGTGGTTTTCAAATTTTTTTAATTAAAATATGATGTGAAAAAAATTTTTTTTTTTTAAAAAAAAAAAAAAAGGGAGAGGGGAGAAATCAGCTACAAAGAAGGGGAAGCCTCAGAAGCAATCAAATGCAACAAAGATAGAGGAGCATCCTCCATCCAAATGCAAGGAGAGATAATCAAAGGCTAGTCTACAATATGCCACATTGTGAAAATAATTTTTTTTTTTTTATTTTTCATAAAAAAAAATGTACCAAAAATAAAGAGAATAAAAAAAGAATTTTTAATTTTTTTATATAATTTTTAAGGGAAAAATTACGGTAAGGGTGTGTACCATATGGATTTTATAATTAAAGAATAAAATAATATAATTGTATACTTTTTGAATTTAGAACTAAACACTATATAAGACATACTTTTTAAAAAAAAACACTGCATAAAACATAATTAAAGATTTCATGAGTCATAATTAAAATATGAAAAATGTTATGGATCTCAAATAAACTATTAAATTTTTTACCAAACCTTATACCCAGGTGAGAGGTTTGGTAGAAAATTTGGTAGTTTATTTGGAGTTTCTAACATAACTTATTATCATAATTAAAGAAGAAAATTGATCACAACTAAAGAAGAAAATGACATAACTAGATGTGTATATGGTATACCTCTTTCAATGAGTATGTATACTAAAATTTCTTAACTTTTTAATTGTTTTTAGTGATATTTTTTAATATTTTTATCTATCTATACTATTATTAAATGAAGACTAGACAATGAGTGTGTATACTAAAATTTCTCAACTTTTTAACTGTTTTTAGTGAATTTTTTTTTACTGCATCTATCTATCTTCTTTCTATTTGTACTATTATTAAATGAAAGTTGAACTTAATGTCTAATTACACATGACAGCTTTATATAACCAAAAATAAAAAATTATTATTCAAAAACATGAGTAAGATTTTAAATTTTATTAAGAATATTCTTACAATGTTTAATTATTTATTTTTATCGTATTTATCTGAATTGTGTCACTGGCTAGTTAACTTATGAGAATAGCTTCTTTCTAGTTAAATCATGAACTGGAGAGTATTGTTAGGCCCGTGGGAGCCCACTACAAGTCCCATTTTGATAATTTAAACCGTTAAATATGTAAAACTCGTCGAGTAGTATATGCTTATAAAAAATTACATTGATCGAATATCAATAGTCATGTAATCAAATCAGTTTTGTATGAAAAAAATAGACGATAAAAAATACACGACTTACAAATATCTAATTTGATCACATAACTATCAATATTCGATCAATATAATTTTTTTAGACATATAATACTTAACAAATTCTACATATTAAATTATTAAAATTATCGAAACGAGACCCGTAATAAATACCTACAAACTAATATCTTCTAATTTGACCAAGTCCCATTACCTTAACCTATTATCGGGACCTACGTCGCTGCATTTACCATACCGGCCAGCATCAGTTATATATGCACGTGTTTTATTATATATATATATACACGTGATTATATGTATACACGTGTTCTAATCATATTTGATGAACGCTTACAGTTCCAGAACATAAATGTTCTAATCATATTTGATGAACGCTTACAGTTCCAGAACATAAATACAGAAAAGTGAAAAGATAAAAAAAATAAATTATATTATATTAATAATTTCTATGTTTTAATCATTATAATTTTAATTTAAATTTCTATATTTTAATCATTATAATTTTAATTTAATTTAATTAATTATAAAATTATAATTATTTTTTGATAGAAATGAGCACACAAACTAATATAAATTTATTTAAATCAGTGATAATTTTTTTTTAAAATCTTAATTAGTATTATCAGCGTTAAAGTAACATAAAATTAAAAATAAATCAATTAAAATTATAACAAAAAAATAGTAAGATAAATTTATAAAGTCAGTGATATTTTTTTTTTAATAATCTTAATTAGTATTATCAGTTGGACTAAAGTAACATAAAGTTAAAATAAATTAATTAAAATTATAAAAACTAAAATAATACGAGGGATAAAATACAAAGACTAGTGGTGTAATTTATCTATAAAAAAGGGCAAATTATGGCGATAGTCCCTATATTTTACTCTTTCTGTCATTTTAATTCTTGTAGTTTTAATTGGTTAGATTTTAACCCTAAATTTATAATTATGTTTTAATTTGATCCAATTAATTTTAATTCATAGCATTTTTTTTTATAAAAATACGTAAATAAATGTCATATCATATTTTTAAGAGTAAATTTATAAATTTACACAATTCAGTTAGTTAATTTCAACTAAGTTAATGATAATTTTTCTTAAAAAATATTAACGATATTATTAATTGAATTAAATTATAATAAAATCTAAAATTGAGATAATTGAGAGTGTAGTTACCAAAATGATATAAGTAAAATGTAGAACCATCAATATATAATTTGTCAAAAATAAAATAAACAATAAAATAAAGAGTAGAGAGATAATACAAAAAAGAGGGCCAAGAACGGACGGTGATGATAAGGCTAAGCTATCATCTGAGTCGTATTCTCTTTCCCCCCTTGTCCAGCGTCCGATTTCACTCCCTCCCTCTTCTCTCTCCTCCTCCATAGCCCATCGATCTCTCTCTCTCTCTCGCGCCCAAATTACAAAATCACGGTAAGCAAACATTCTTTCACTCTCTCTCTACACCTTTTTCTCTTATGGCGGAGTTAGGGTTTTGTTTCGATCCAAAGACGTGGTTTTTGATTCGCTTCATTTCTTTGTTATTTTTGGATAATGTTTTGTGCTTTGGGGAGCTAGGGTTTCGGCGACGATGTCCGACGCTGCTCCGGCGAGTCCTGGCGGTGGGAGCCACGAGAGCGGCGAGCAGAGCCCTAGGTCGAACGTCCGCGAGCAGGACAGGTTCCTCCCGATCGCCAATATCAGTCGGATCATGAAGAAGGCGCTTCCGGCGAATGGGAAGATCGCCAAGGACGCCAAGGAGACCGTGCAAGAATGCGTCTCCGAGTTCATTAGTTTCGTCACTAGCGAGTATGATAGATATTTCAATTCTGTATATATATATAAATGTGATGCCTTTGCAATTTTACACCTAAATTTTTTTAATAATTTGATGAATTGATGAATGAAGAAGATTGGTTGAATTAATACTGCTAGCAAGCTAATATTATGAGCATTTTTGGGAAAAGAAGTGTTACAAAGCTTCAAAATGTTTCAAGTTGTGTGCTTTGTATAATGTATAAATTTTTTGTGATTGATTGTTTGGAAATTGAATGAAGGGCGAGTGATAAGTGCCAGAGAGAGAAGAGGAAGACGATAAATGGGGATGATCTTCTATGGGCAATGGCCACTTTGGGGTTTGAAGATTATATTGATCCGCTGAAAGTGTACCTGAGTCGATACAGAGAGGTGGTTTTATTGATTTAAATATTTCTATGCAATTTATTTTTTCCCCTTATGTGGGTAGAAATTTGATTTGTGATACATATATTGTATTGTATTAACGATTTGTTGTTTTCGTTTTGTTTTGCCTCTGTATTGGGCTGAACGAAATGTTGCAGATAGAGGTATGCCATTTTCTTATTGGTTTGTAAATCGTACATTTACTTCTCATGTGTTTATATTTCTGTGTTTGTTTATCGGTGATTTCTTGTTTTTTCCATTTGGGCGTAGCTTCTGCCAAATTTGTAGTTTTTGAAATTCTGAATTTTGCTAGGGTGATACGAAGGGATCAGGAAAGGGTGGGGAAGGGTCTGCTAAAAAAGATGGGGTTCAACCTGGTCCAAATACGCAGGTATATATACTGTACATTAAGTTATAGGACGTTCAGTTGATCTTTTTGGGAATTTTGGCGTTATGTTGTTTCTTGGATTGAAAGTCATATCCTGTCTTACCATGCCAACCTCTTCTCTCATTGTACAGTTTGCACATCAAGGTTCATTTTCACAAAGCATGAATTACGGAAATTCCCAAGTAAACCCTCTCTCTGTCTCTCGCGTCCATGGTCAAATATTGTTGTTCACATGCATAGAATAATACGTTGTGAAATCTCTTTTGTTCATTTTTAAGATACGTGAGAAGTTTGATCATATTGTGTATATATGTAATATAAATATTGATAGTTGATCCATAGAACATATACCTCTGGTGCTACTTAAAAAAAAAAAAAATACCCACAATTACAAATGTATTTGTTAGCACTCAAATAGATAACCAAATCAAATCAAGCCTTAAGTCTCATCAAATGAGGTCGGTTACATGAATTTTTTTCCTCCACGCGACTCTATCAAAGGCCATTTCGTTAGTCAAATCAAGTAGTTTCATATCTCTATTTACCACGCTAGTCAACGTTAATTTAGGCCTACTCGGTCCCCTAACACTACTATCTACTGTTACTGTATCGCATCTTTTCACTACTGCCTCTGTTAGTCTCTGTTGAATATGACCAAACCATCTCAATCGATTATCTCTCAACTTATCTTCTATCGGTGCTACTCCTACCCATTCCCGACACTCATTCTTAATTCTGTCTTGTCTAGTCCTGCCATACATTTACCTTAGCATCCTCGTCTCAGCAACACTCATCTTATCAACATATTGTTTATTGATTACCCACCACTCCGTCCCATAGAGCATCATTGGTCTAATAGTCATCATATAGAATTTACCTTTGAGTCTAGTGGGTATTCATTTATTGCACAGTACCCTAGACGCATTTCTTCACTTAAGCCATCCCGCCTTAATCCTATGGGCCACATCCGTATCAATTTCTCCCGCCGTTGTGATAATCGACTGTGAATAATGAAAATGTTCACTCTTAGGCAGTTCTTGGTTTTCAATCTTCACTTCTCCTCTGCTTTTATTGTTACTGGTATTAAATTTACACTCCATGTACTCTGTCTTAGTTTTACTTATCCGGAATCCTTTAAATTCAAGTGCTTGTCTCCAAATTTCTAACTTTGTGTTAATTCCTTCTCTAGTGTCATCTACTAACACGATATCATCTGCAAAAAGTATACACCATGGCACGTCATCCTGAATATTTCTCGTCAACTCATTCATAACTAAAGCAAAAAAATAAGGACTTAAGGTAGATCCTTGGTGTAATCCTACAGTGATAAGAAATTCATTTGTCTCTCTAGCAGGCGATCTAACAGTGGTTACCACCCCTTCATACATGTCTCTAATCACATCAATGTATCTTTTTGTCACCCATTTCTGCTTTAACACCCACCATATTATATCCCAATGCACTCTGTCATATGCTTTATCAAGATCGATAAACATTATATGAATGTCTTTTTTTTTTTTTTTTTTTTACTTTTCTATTACTCTCTTCAAAAGATAGATTGTTTTCATTGTTGACCTGCTAAGCATAAATCCAAATTGATTCTCTAAACACCCTCTGTTATACTCGTAATCGGCATTCCATCACCCTCTCCCACACTTTCATTATATGACACATTAGTTTGATTTCTCTATAGTTATTACAATTCTGAACGTCTCTTTTATTCTTATAAATTGTTACTAAAATACTCTTCCTTCACTCATTTGGCATATTCCTAGTCAACAAAATCTTGCTAAATAACCTAGTCAACCAAGTAATCTTCTTTTTACCTAAACACTTCCAAGCTTCAATAGGGATATCATTGGACTTAAAGCCTTATTTGATTTCATCTTGTTAAGTGCAATCTCCACTTCAAAGTTCCTAATCCTGAGATAGAACCTATAGTCTTGGTTTGTCGTATTACTGGCTATTTCTTTCCCTATTCCTATTGACGTACCTCCATGTTCCTCATTTAATAGTTCTTCAAAATAGTTCTTTCATCTCTCCTTAATCTGTTCATCCTTCACCAATACCTTAAAATCCTTACTCTTAATTCACTTAACTTGATTAAAATCTCTTGTTTTCCTCTCCTGTATCTTAGCAAGTTTGTATATCCTATTTTCTCCCTCCTTACTATCTAGTCTAGTGTATAGATCATTATAAGCTTTTAACTTAGCCCCCCTCACTACTTTTTTGACCTCCTTATTAGTCAATCTATAGCTCTTAAGGTTTTCCTTAGTTCTATCCTTCTGTCACTTTCTAAAACACTCTTTTTTTGCCTTAACTACTGCTTGAATCTCTTCCCTCTACCACCAAGTTTTCCTAAAGTTGGGTCCCGTCCCTTTCAACTCTCCAAGCACTTCCCTTGAGATTCTCCTTATACAATTGGCCATCGAATTCCACATAGTGTTAGCATCATTTTCTAAGTCCCAAGCACCTTCCTTGTAAATTCTATTCTTAAATGTTTCTAATTTCTCTCCTTTTAAGTCCCACCATTTTGTCTTACGACGCCCATCATCCTTCCTAGCTTGGTATTGCCCTTTAAAACATAAATCTAGTATCAAAATCCTATGTTGGGAGGTTAGATTCTCTCAAGGAATCACTTTACAATCACTGTATTTTAGGCGGTCCACTTTTCTTACTAAAAATTAATCTATTTGGCTCTTAACTGACCAACTCTTAAAGATTATCAAATGCTCCTCCATCTTCTTATACATAGTATTGCCTACCACCAGGTCAGAAGCTAGCGCAAAATCTAAGATACTCTCTTCAGTCTCATTTCTATCACCAAAACCATAGCTACCATGCACCCTTTCATAGCTTAGTTTATCTATACCTACATGGCCATTGAAATCTCCACCTATAACTAGGTTTTCTCCTACAGGTATCTCTTGTAAGATCTCATCCATTTGCTCGCAAAAATCCCTCTTAGTTTGATCATGTAATCCTTCTTGAAGAGCGTATGTACTAATAACGTTCACTATATTTCATCCAATAACTAGTTTAACTAACATAATCCTATCCCCTCTCCTAATGACCGCCAATACATTTTCCACAAGACCCCTTGCAACTATGATTCCTACCCCATTTTTGCTTCTATCTTCACCATTATAATACAGTTTAAAATCAGTATCTTCAATTTCCCTACTTTTCTCACTCGTCCACTTAGTTTCTTGTACACATGCTATACTAACTCTCATCCTAATCATAACATCTGCCAATTCCATTGTCTTACCAGTTAAAGTTTTCATATTCCAAGTGACTACCTTAAACCTGTAGTCTTGGACTAGCTTCTTTACTCGCGTTTGTCCAGAAAAACGCGGGAACCTTTACCCATTTTTCACCGCACCCAGGCGTTGGTGCGGCATCCCTTGCTTACTTTTCGAAACACCCGGAGGCAGGTGCAACGCGTCACTTGAGGGGAACGACCTAGCATTTAATCGATTCAAAGTAGAATTCATTGTCATGAGCACTCAAACAGATGAAAAATAATTTTATTTGCAATAAAGTATTGGTTGTCAATAGTGTAGTATTTAGTCTGTATTCTACTGGCAGTCAATCCGTAGTGAATTAATACATTGTATGCAAATTTTATCAAGAATCTTGAATTGGGAAGTTGAAGATTCTTTAAGTCATTGGGAACATTGAATGCATGTATTCTGTGACGATATCCTTGACACATTCTTGATGATGAATTTTTAATTACTTTAAGATTTGTTTGCTATATATACACGTACGATATATACATATATTGGTATATGAATATAAAGATTCTTACACACACACACACATACATATATAGATATGGATCTTTGCATGATGCCGGTGGTGATGATAAGAAAAATGGATGACAGATAGTAAAAATGTAAAATAATTAATTGTTAGAAATCAAATAGAAGCATTAGCCATCAACGATGACAAACTAGAAGCCTATAACACATATGGCATCAGTAAACATGTAAGGAATCATATATATATATATAGATGTAGTTGTTATTATTATATTTTTTTTGATAATTGAGTGTTTGGGTCAGCTTATGTGCACCTTGACTAATTCTGGGAACCAATCCCACCGCCCAGTTGCGGGGGTTCCCATTTAAAGCCAGAGCAAATGTCCTGTATGGACTGGCCTCAAGGAGCTGATTGCAGCTAGTGAGTATTGAACTTGAGACCTGGACGGAGCACACTTCTAGGCTCCAAGTTGTGCCCACTAGACTAACCCCTTGAGGTTACATATATATATATATATATATAAATATATATAAAGCATGTAAACGGGCTTGGAGGTTCCTAAACCAATTCCATCCCAAATCCGATTCGGGTTTTACCTTCTCCCACCATACTTCTCACATGCAACCTCCTAAAAACCATCCCATTATAGGTGAAGGCATGTGGGTTTTCGACTATGTTACATGGATTCTAGTATGAATATTGGGTGGGAGTGCTTGTCCAAGTGTTATACCTTTCTGAGCCTAAGTTTTAAGATATTAGGATATGTATCCAAAAGTTGGGTATGTGTACATGGACATGTCTTGAACATTTATATATATTACGTACATATTGTATAATATTTTTAGATAAGATCATATAAATTATTTAGAAATATATTTGAAATTAAATTAGATTTAAGAAAAATATAGACTTTCTATCTTTCATTTATGTGAGAGGCAACAAATATTTCTTTACCAACAAGTGTGAGCTTCTTCTTCTTCAAACATCGTATGAAATTAGAGGATCTAACTGTTTAAATTGGGTATAGGTCAGACACATATTCCATATCCTTATCCTTATCATACTTGGTGGACTTGTAGTACTTTGTGTGACACTGGTTTCCAAATTGTTTGGCTGAGTTACCATCTGTATTTGCAACCTAAGTAGTAGACACGAACACAACCCATACATGGCTACATGGTGATTTTCAAAAAAATATAGGACATGATATGCTTGGAACACATTAAAAATTTATATTTTTATAAATTTATTATATATCAAATATATGAATAGTTTATTCAAAGAAAATGAAAAAATAAATTAAAATAAATAACACTAATCAAAATTAAGGGATAATTAGTTAGTAGTCCCATTGAGCTTACTCTCGGTGCTGATTGATACCCTCCATGCTTTGCAGTGGTCATTAATACTCGTTGACATCTTTTTATTACTAGCTCATATGTTCCTAGTAAGTTGTGCCATATTGGTGGTTTGCTTGAGCCAACCTTACTGCGAGGTGTAATTGGGATTTGTATTTGCTGATACTACATTTTAACTACCACAAAATTTCAAAGTAAGACCTGCTTTTTGGGCGGATTTTGGGCATTTCAAATATATTTTCGTTGCGTTGTTTATATGTTACACATTTTAGGTTTGATAACCTTTCACAGTTCATTGTGAAAGCTCATTTCTTCTGCCATGTTGATATGTAACGTTTCAATTGTGACCAAATCATGAGTTTCCATAGTAAACCATAATGAGAAATTACACAATTCACCATGAGAAGAAATTTCACAATAGATAATAATTTGAAATTTGATGATTGACCATAGTGTGAAAGCTCATTTCTTCTGCCATGTTGATATTTAACGTTTCAATTGTGACCATACCATGAGTTTCCCTAGTAAACCATAATGAGAAATTTCACAATTCACCATAACAAGAAATTTCACAATAGATAATAATTTGAAATTTGATGATTGACCATAGTGTGAAAGTTCATTATTTAACACAATGAAACGGTTTCTATATCGGACAGTGTTGGTTGTTTTACATTTTTTAAAGTGAGTAGTTGCTGGGAAAACTCATTGTCCATACTAAGAAATTTCACAATTGACCATATCTTGCAAATTACAAGAATATTAAAGCCCATAATTTCACACTTCTCAAAAATTGACACTATTATATTAATTGAAAGTGTGAATAGTCACACCTACCATGAAATTCAGTGTGTGTGTGCGCACTCATGCTTGTGATTTTGATTTTGTAACCATAAATAACCATAATTAGTGGGATTTGATTTTGCAACTATGATTAGTGGGATTTGATTTTGTAATAATTAATGCAATACTAGCTTGAGGTTTTTTTTTTTGGTAATTTGTTCTGGCATAGGACTTTTTGGGTTATTAGAAAAAGAATGGTACTTGCTAGTCTCATATCTAGGATTTTTGGTTTAAAATCCCTAAAATTAAGAAGTCATATATTCCATAACTTAGATAGGAGAAAACATAGACTAACATAAGATGTGATTGTAAAAAAATGATAGAAGTTTGTTTAATTTAATTGGGAATATAGCGTTTGACAGAGCTTATTATGAAAAGAATTCATATAGCCGATCTCATTTGATTAGGACACAAGGCTTAGTTTGGTTTGATTATCAGCGGGTTCGCAAGAAAAAAGATTGGGCATTATCAATACCAATACCAAGCTGATGGTGAAGTGAAACTGTGAAAGATGATGTTCGTTTTTACATTAATGAATTATTGGGGTAATCATACATTTTTGGAGGATTTGTAGTTGCTACTGGTGTAAAGCTTTTTATTTTTATAATTGATGGTAAAGCTGATGATGTATGATCATTCCATGTTTTCCTTAAATGTGCCTGTTGCATATGATTTGATGCCATTGTCTCTCATCTCTTTCTAGCTACTATTGACTATAATTTGGATTGATTGAGCTCTGTTTTTCAAAGAGTAGTTATACTTGTTTCTTGAGTTTTGCAGTCACAAGGTCAACATATGATGCTTCCCATGCACGGCACAGAGTAGAATGGATTCTCAAACAGTTTCCATCATTTTCAATCCTAAACGAGGATATCATGTTTAAAGCTCTTTACTTATTTTAAATGTGTTCAGATCCGAGCATTGTAACATTTTAGGGGTGATTGGTTGGCGTTGTTTCATGTCCAGTGTTATGTTTCGGCATGTTTGTATATTACAGTGTCTTCTGGAGTAGATAAATTATTTGATGAATATTGAGAGCCTTTGGTGGATTTATTGAATCTTCTTTTGTTTTTTTTATTAACTTTTATTTTGGTAGGTAGGCAAGACCGGATATTTGGTCATGTAACTGACTGAGAAACTCTGTTGTGCTTTCTTTTTTTTTTCCTTTCACCTTGTTGCTATTTTCTCATTATTTTTGGATGTGCTGAGAGAATGTCTTAATCGATTTTAAAAACATCCCAGTATGAACTGTTGGTGGTTATGTTTCAATCTTGAATTTGTAGAATTTAATGACAAAAAGGAAAGGGAAGGAAAAATGAAGCAAAAGCTAATTTCCTCCCTCTCTTTTCTCTCCATTAGGGTTGTAAACGAACTAAGTCATCTATGAACAGCATGAGTTCGGCTCGTTTAAAGTTTGTTTAAACTCGATTCATTTATTAAATGAACAAGTTCAAACTTGATTTTTAAGTTTGTTTATTAATCGAGCTGAGCTTGAATAACATTAAACTCGACTTGATAAGGCTCGTGAGCATAAAAATAAATAAGCAAATATTTATTTTTAATAATATATTAAATTAGGGGTGTAACTTGGACGGGTTCAATCCGAACAACCCGAACACAATTCGAATTTTTTTAGGACTTGGATAAGATATTTTCAAATTCGGTACGAGTTTGGACAAAAAAATCAGAAGCTCAAATTAAATTTGGACGGACTTGGGCAAAGACATCAATTAACTTGAGCAGCCCGAAACTTAAGTTATACATGTATAGATATATAAAAATATTAAATATATATATAAATTATTAGTCATTACATGTTATTAAAGTAATTTAAATTATTAAATCATATTCAATATATATTATATATACAAATAACATAAAATTTTATTTTATTTTTTATTTTCGCTCATAAATTGTAAAAACTACTATAGCGGCATCTCTCTTATATTATATAAATTATTTGTTTTGATGGTATTAAAGATTTGCTATATATATATATAAAAAATGTAAATAGAGTCAAATTTTAATAATTTAATAATGTAAAAAAAAAAAAATGCAATTCAGGCAATTTGGGTTTAACTCGGGTTGGGCTTGGGCAGGCAACCTCGGGTTACAATTCGGGCTTGGACAGATCTTAGCATAACTTGGGCTAGGCTTGGACAACCTCCCAACCCAACCGAACCTGTCTGAGCTGCACCCTTATATTAAATAAATTTTTAATAATCTATTTTATTTTTTATTTATGCTTGGTGTTTGTGTAAATTTACATATTTGATTGATGAACTTTATTATTAATATAAGTATTAATATATATTTTACTCACAATTTTGTCTTCTTTTTTTTTAAGTTCAAACTCGGCTCGTTTTTGTAATCAAGTGAGTTCGAGCCGAACTCGAGTTCAACAAATATTTGATAAGTCGAGCTCGACTAATTCTTAATAAAAGGGCTTGAACATTCAAAAGTTAGGTTTGGTTTGGCTCATTTGAAGCCTTACTCTCCATAAAGGCAAGATCCAAACATGCCGTAGTGTGTAACTTGAGGGTTATATCTTTCCCTTTCCCTCTCTTGTTTAATTTTCTTAGTATGTAGCAAGTTGCATTGGTGCATTTTGGATGTTTTCATTTGAGCTTATGCTTGATTGGCATTGGAACACACAGAACACAGAAAATGTATTGTGGTAGAGATATTATTTGAAGTGTGGTGCATTTTTTATGTTCTTTCTATGTTCCAATTCCGTGCACTGGGCGTTGCTGATTGTGTTTGGTTGCTGCACTCTGGGTTTGTCCTTTCTTTGATTACTTTTGTTGTCTAGACAGTAACACTGGAGGATTTTGTGTATAAGTGAATTGAGTGAAAACTAAAATTGAACTGGTTTTTAAATCTTGTCACCCCGTCCCCATCCTTGTTTGATTAACATTTGTTTGAATCAAAGTTCCACCTTTGCTAGTTCTGTCCAGTCTTTTTTGTGGAATAAAGGAATAGATGAAATTCATAATTTTTTTTGCCTGTTATCGATCTTGAGGTTGGTTTTGAACGGTCATCTTTGTAATCGATGAGCAGCTTTCTCAATTCATTTTACTCGATTTGTTCACAATTAACCATATTGCAGTCAAATGATCTATATGATTTTTTGCCGAGCAGTTCAACTCAAAAACGAGATGTAGGCCTCGTTTGGGAAGCGGCCGGTTTAGCCAAAAAGTCAAAAAGTTACTAAAAAAATCAAAAAGCCAACAACCCATACCAAAAAGTCAAAGATTTCCTTTTCTTTCTACTTTTTGCATATCTTTTCGTAAAAAGTCAAAAAGTCACCCCAAACATACTAGTTTTTTTTACATCATATTTTAGCCAAAAAGTCAAAAAATTACTAAAAAAGTCTGCTCCAAAACAAGGCCTTAGTACTAAATTTGGTATATGGCTTGGCAATGTCATTTTTTGATCATAAAATGGATATGCAAATAGGTAATGTCATTTTTGTCAGCTCAGCTCACTTAAGAGAAGGCTTTAATTCAGTTGTTTGATGTGAGATATCCAATGATGACGTGTTTGATATTGCTATCTTGACAATAATCAATGAAGTTGCTTTACTTCGATATTTCCTTGTGCTGTTTTTTTTGACATTAGAGCATATGCATGTGGTATGTGAAAATCTATATGAAGTTTTTAAATGCACAAATTTATCATATACAATCTTTCCATATAGGTAAATTTTAGCTATATAAGAAAATTATATCCGATTTTATAACTAAATTATGTGCAAGCGGAAGATGTGGTACTTCAAACAGTAAAAATTAATTGGTCTTGCACTCTCAACGGCATAATTACAAGTGTTACTTGATCATAGACTTTCAAGATATGCCAAATTTAAAATTTTATTAGTTGGAGATGTTGTTACTCACCAATTTAGTTGTTTTCTTACCTCTTTTAGGTCGTAATCATTCATACTTTTGATAGAGAGTTAAATCTACTTGTAATATTGCTTTCATTTTTATATTGTTCAAAAGCTATCAACTTTTTAATGAGTGGCCATGCTAACAATTACCCTGGACACTCACCTTAATTAATGAAATTTGATTACATACATAAGAAATATAAAATATTAATTAAAAAATATATTAATTCAAAGCTAATGAAATAATCAAAAAATAAATCCATCTAAATTAATGCATAAGCTAAACATAGAAATTTACTAAAATCAAGAGTAATTAATACAATATCAAATACCTCTTAAAAGTAAATTTCACAAAGTAAATTCCATAATTGATTGGAAGTTGGAATACAAGTACAGTTGCAAATAAATCGAACTGTTTGTAAATATGCTCGGTTCAACTCGTTAAGGGCTCGGCTCTACTCATTTAGTAAACGAGTCGAGTTCAAGCTCGAATATTAGGCTCGTTTAGTAAATGAACTGAACTCGAACTCGAATAAGTTCGGCTCGTTTATCTTTATTTAAATTATATAATAAATATATTATTTATATATTAAATAGTATTTTTTTACTTAAATATTTTTATTTACATAATATTTAAAAAAAAATTATCGAGTCGAGCTCGAGCCCCAGCTACTTATCGAGTAGAGCTCAACTCAATAAATGAGCTCAAAAAGTAAACGAGTCGAGCTTGAACTCAGCAAAATTCGGCTCGATTCAGCTTGTTTACAGCCCTAAATGCAAGTAGGTTTAACATTTATGCTATATTTGGATATAGAATTTATTGAGTTTTGTTAACAAGTGCCCAAAGGCCACTTGTGAAAAATGCATTAAATAAAAGTAATTAATTCTAGCTACAATAGAAACTACAAAAGATAATAAATATACAGCACTATAATAAATATATTTTTTTCCGTAGTGAGACCAAAATACCCTTTTATTCATTTCCCGCTATTTTATCATTTTATCTTCCCTTTCTTTTTTTTTTTTATCATTTCATAATTAACATATTAGATATTATTTCAGCTAATGATGAAATACACCAATGATTTTTTTAAACCATATTTAATCAAATTTATCCCATAAAAAATGGTAGAAAATGTGGCACATAATAAAAAGTTGAAGGGGCAAAAAAAATTTAAACACTTTTTTCATCATAAATAAATTTATTATGATTAACATTTATTTTCACCCTAAATAAATTTATAATTGGAAAAATTTGATAAACATTATCATCATACTACTACGTATCAACTAATGTGACAAACTTCATCATATTATGTAGGTAATATCTTATTCGTATTTTTTTTCGTCTGTTTAATATATTATTGTGTCTCATTTTTTGCCACTTTATTATGGGACAAATTTTATTAAATATGGTTAAAAATAAAATTATTGGTGTACTCCACCATTAGCTAAATATTATTTAGTATGTTAATTCGTAAAAAAATATTGAAGGGATATGAAATAATAAAATAGAGGGAAATGAATAAAAATGTATTTTGGTCTAACTAGGAAAAAGTATTTATTATTGTGCTTTATATTTATTTTCTTCTATAATAGTTGGAATTAATTACTATCATTTAGTACATTGTTAATAAGAGCACTTCCACTTGATACTTCAAATATGATGTGACACTCCAATGATCATATTTTGGTATCAAGTATGAACTCCACTAGGTGTGCCAAAAATTAATGTGGCATTTGGCATCACTCCTTTATGCCAATTTTGACATATTCCTACTTCATACATTTTTTGAAATAAAAGAATTTTCATATAAAATAAAAGAGTTCAAATTTTAAAAAAATAATAAAATAATAGATTTGACATATTAGGTGGAGGGCTTTCATGCCAAATTTACATATGCCAATTTGTCACCTAAGTCTTCAAAAAAATTTGACATACCAAATTTTAAAAATTTAGATGAGGATGCTCTTAGGCCAGTTGTTAACAAAACCCTTTATTATTTGAAAGGAAAATGAAATTACTACTATTTGTTATATTTTTCATGGGTAATCAAACCAAAAAAACGATTTTTTAAGAAATGCCAACTCTTTTTCTTCTTCTTATTTTCAAAGCTCTATGAAACAAAAGCATAGAACTTAAAACTTCTTTCATTTTTGAGAGGGAGATTTGTGTCGAACAGTGGGCTGAGCTATACCAACACGGAATATTTTGTTAGGTCATGCTAGAGGAACATGGAATGTAGTGTTGAACCGAGCTATGCCAACACGAAGTTTGGTGGTGTGACGGGCTATCTTGGCCAAGCTACCTTAGCATGGGCCCTGGTCTTGG